CTCAGAAAATCAGTGCGAGTATCCCATGTTAATGATATCTCATACCTTAGGCCATGCCAGGTCCTTCGACCCTGGCTTAAAAATACACTTTTCCACAAATTTCGAAAATTTGAAAGCACAATACCTGAAAAGGTACAGCATCATAGAATAATGCCAAAAACCAATTAAGAGTAACAGTAGCCAGATCAATGTCGTATTGTTCTAAATGAGCAGCAAGTCTCGGTAAACGCCTCGCAACAAGTTCTTTCAGCACTTCCTGCAACAACGTCCATACAAAAACTGGTTACTCCATGTCTAGACTCAATCTAGTGAAGCTTCACATGGCGCTTGAATGCATTAGGATTTTGCTAGGTGATGCTGGTGGCATAAATCTACTTTTATCTTTTTTGTCTTAAGAGTCAGAACTCCACTCCAAATACATTACCAATGTTGAAAAATCACAGGGAAGGCCGTGAAAGGATTTGTTTGAACGACTATTTGGAATTATGTGAATGAGAGAGAGGGCTAAAGTGGGGAAGAATGATAGGTTGCCAGATGCATCAATGGCGAGAAGAAACGCGATGATGAAACAGTAGCTAATCGAGACCTCCAAATTTATAAGGCGGAGGCATTCAGAAACAAAACTACAGTTATAGTTAATTTTTAAACAGATGAAAATTGATGCGTTGCAGATGCTTTTTTGATTGATTAATTTTTCAGGTAGCAAAAATAAGTAAGGGCTGAGCCCAAAGAATGAAACTGTACTAAGTTTATTTAAAAAAATTTTCAGCCGAACCCATGAAAAAATAAATTTGCAGTCCGTGAATAATTTACTTCCATGGAAACCAGATTCCTCCAGATTCTTGAAGCATTACGGCCTCTTACCTGATCAGCTTGTGCTCCAGTGAGTGCATGATCGAAATAGCTTTTGTTAAAATACTTCTCGGTGATTGCAACCAGAAACCAAAACGTATCTTCGGGTCCAACCAGGAGCATTGCTGTACCGGCAATGAAATTCATCCCTTGACAATATCCAATTATCGGATTGTGCAAGCAGAAAGCTCGTAGTACCTGATCCAATTGCTGGATCTACAAGCACTTTTGGATTTTTAAGCGAAACAACTTCGAAACATCGCGCCATAGTTTCTCATAAATCCAGAAAAAGTTTGCTCCTGCAGAAAACGACTCCACGATTTTCGCTTTTTTTCAAAGGATTGAAGCATTTCCGAATTTGTACAAAAAATTTTTGAAGTACTACAATTTCCCATTAAACAAAATTTTGGCTTTGCGAAAAAAGAGATCAGAAATTTCTTGTTTTTTTAATAAACGTTATGCACTTCCATGTTTTTAAGAAATTTTTGAAGTATCACAATTTCTCATGAATCCGAAACTTTGGTTCTGCAAACAGGAAATTGAGAGCTTTGTTTTTTTTAAGGGCATCAAGCACCCCAATGCCTTTGTCAAAGATTTTCAAAACATCGCAATTTTTCATACACCTAGAATTTTGCTTCATCAAGAAGCCCTAGTTTTCCTTTCTTTGCGTCAACCGTTTGTGATTCCTTGTGAAAAACACTCGAACTAGAACAGTTTTCCACAAACAACTCAAAATGTTCCATATCCAGATTTCTTTTGTTTTCTTTTCACATATCAGACACTTCCTGTGCTTTAGTATCACTACGTACAGTTATCTGTTTGTAGACGAAGAATATGTATTAAAGTTTTGTAAAATAAGCACACAAATCTCTCATTAAAAAATTTTGTTTAATTTTTTTAACTCGTCTAAAAAAAGGAAAAATACAATCCTAGTGACTGTGAAAAAAACAAAAAACAAACCCCTTTACATGTCGGTGACATAAAATGTATATTGCCAGGCATTGTACGCAATAGATCCAACGTAATTTGTTTCTGATGACTTTCTCTGTACTGCAACTAAATGAATTTTTTCCTACTTTTTTCTACTAAGTGAATTTTCCTAAAAGATTTTATGAATTCAGATGCAAATGTTTTGATGGAAGGGAAACCAGGCATCATGCGTGAGGGATAATGGAAAAGAAAGCCGGAGGGTAAAAGGAAAGAAGTTCATCCAAATTATTTTTGAGCTCAATTTGACATTGCTAGAAAAATAAAGAATTTACAAGTTATTCTCAGAATATACACGAAAAATAATAAATTTAACAGCTTTAATGAAATCAGGGCCTAGTTCTTCTCCACCTATGTAGCTGACAACTTTTCCAGTTGCTTTGACCAAAGCTGCGCTACCCAGCGGTCAGTTTGCTGGAAGACCTGACAGGCCTTTCACCTCCCGAAGAAATTATCAACTCAGCGTTTCTCCGGTCTAAAGCACTTGGCAGGGCTTTAGTAAATTTGAGATAACTTTGGTGCGCATCGAGTACCACTACCTCATCTCAAACGCTGCGCATCCTTGAACGCGGTGAGGTATACTTACTGAATAAAATATAATATGACTTCAAATACTGCAAAAATTATGGCAGTACGGTTATCGAAATTGCTGTAAGTTGCTTAACATGCTGTTGCTTGGTCACCTGCGATAGAGTGAACTGGACAGAATTACCTCAGCTTCGTCAATTGATCCCTGTGTGCTGCACAGATTACGGTAATAATATTTCCCAAACTTTTTCTTGATTTCAGCCACCTGATAATGAATGAGCAGCTTCCATATGGTCGACCTCAGGTCATTCGGAACACCAGCTCGGATAAGCTGACGCGTTTCCTTCTGCAGTTAGAAATTTTTGTCAAATTTACTAGCAGTTATGAAAAATACAGCACAAAATCATACACTGTTTTTGTTCTCGAAATAAGTAGGGGAAGCATTATTCTAGCAAGAACATTCAAAATTTCGAAATTCTGACACTCAGTAACAAAAGAAGAAAATTTTCCATATTTAAAAAATTCTTTTCGGGTGAAAGGACATGAACACTTTTTCATCGTCTAAACCAACAATTTTATATAAGAACAAACGACCTTCATAATCTGCGTTCTGAGAAAGGTGGAAGTGCTTGAAATTAGCTCCAGTGGTACCATGCGTCAAATGCAATTACCCGTCGGCAAGGCTGTCGGTCGCTCCATTTTTTGAGGTTACTTAGAAGCAAGCTGATGGAGAGTTTGATTATCTGGCATATGCCACTAACATTTTACCACCGAAACGAACGAACGAATCGTAGAAAATTGGACTCGAACTTTCACTAGCGGAATCGAATCCTCGTATTTTAGCAGAAAAACAGTGGAATTTGCCATTGTATTATATCATGTGCTAGCAAATTATTGACTGATAATAATTCACAATTATTCGAATTCAAGTGCCGAGGTCATAAACTTTAATATGTTAAAAACTCCATTTAAAATCCTCGAAAATGAGCCATAAACACCGTGTTCTCCGAACTCGGATTTCCAAAGCAAAAAGTAATAATAACGAGAGCGCTGGGCTGCAGTGCAGTATTAATAATAATATATAAACGCTAAATTCACTTTTCTCAAAAAACAGCCAGAATCCCTTAGGAAAAAGACTGAATCCGAGAAATCGAAACACTTTTGCTCAGGCAATTCTTCAAATCCAGGATAAAGACAAGTACGCCGAAATGATCAATATTGTATACCGTGTTGCAAAGCTGGTGATTCGAATCACGCAGATATTTCATCCAGGCCTCTCGATGCTCCA